TATGAAGACTCAAGGAGAAAAAACTGAATTCACAAGTTTTCTTTTAAAACAGTCATGAGGGGAATAGCAGAATGGGTTGTACCACTAAGGGAAATCCTCTTACTGTCATCTAGATGTTGAACACTACACAGAATTTTAATGTTCACACTTGATTTTTTTTTTCCTTCCGGTTTGGATGGTTATTTCCTTTTCTTCTACATTCATGAAGGAACAGTGCTGTAGAATCAGGGGTTTCCTTTTGCCTCCCCATCTGTTCACTGGGACACCACGTTGCACTGGTCAGAGAATGAGCTTAGAAATTCCAAAAACGTTGAGTTGTCCTAGGAGCAAGATAATGTGTGCAACTATTGTGATTTTTTTTTTCTCTCACTTACAGCAAAGGGTTTGCTCACTCTGATTTAAAATGCTTTTTAACACCAGCAGATAACTGAATTGTGCCAAGTTTTATGCTTCTGTCTGAAAAGAGATCAGGGAATGTAGGAAAGAGTAGACTGAAAAATATAGAAGAGGAGCGTGTACAGTTTGTGCACAGGAGGATCTGTTTCATTTCAACAGTTTTTTGGGTTTTTTAATCAGAGTTGTATGCCATCTGATTTGTATCAGCCATAGCATTGAAAGTGCTTTCAATTTGCAAGAATGCTGGAGGAGTTGGTAGACCTCAGGTTTAACACTATCCCCAAATGTACCATTTGACCCTTTCAGCGTGTAACCATTGTAGAGCCGATAGCATTCCCTAGCCTGCTTTCTGTCAGGGGCTGGAATATTTTCTTAGAAATTCATGGCAAGGGTTAGGCCAGTTTTTTCAGTGAGCTAGTAAAGTCAAATTTTCTTGCTCTTCCACTTATCCTCCAAAATGTTTTACTGGATGGACAAACTGTAGCATCACACCACTCCCGAGGAGAAGGGAATAATTTCTGTAGTTTGCTCTTTCTCCTCCGCTCTAGCTTTTGTAGTAGATGATTTTGGAGAGGGGGAGGGATGTTCTTTTGGACTGTAAAAAATTAAAGTTTGGCTGGCGATGAACGCATGATGATGAGATGGAGAAGCTTTTCAGAACAAAGACCTGCACGTGCATCTCCGTATTTCTCAGAAACCTGTGAGACTAGCTGGTTCCATAGTGAGAGACAGGGCGAGAGTGCCTGATGCTTGATGTGGGTAACGAGGTGTTGCTACCTTGAAAGGTGATGAGTTGGAGGTGGGTTGCACCCCGGAAGATCCTTGAGTGCTTCAGATGGGAATATTTTAAGCATAAGGCATTCAGGTTTGTGGGGCTTTTTTTCCTTTGTTTATGGCTTGTAGGTTTCTTTGCAGTTTCCCTCTGAAAATAACACATACCTTGGGGCTTTTGTTGTTGGGGGTTTTTGGAGGGGAGGGGAGGAACTGGGGTGGAGTTGGAAGGTCGTAGGGTGAGCCCAATTCACTTAGCCGTACAATCACAGTGTGATTCACAGTCACCTGGTAAAAACTATGCCTTTCTGACTTTGGGTTTGGGGTTTTTTTTCCCAATTTTTATCTGGATTTGTGAGAAGCTTTCTGTTTCATCCACATTTACTCTACTCATTTCTGCAGTCTACCAGTTTATGCTGGAAGGTCGGTTCAGAAGGCACATGCACATGCTGCTCTACAGTTTTAGGCTGCCTGCTTGCAGTAGCAGGATGTAATGAATGACATGGAAAAGCAGAACTTCAGAAGGGGTGTGGGGACCTGCTAGGGTGTTTCAGGTGGCAGTATTGATCAGGCGTAGGGCATCCTTAACCACAGGAGACAACACTGAAGCAATTGGTCTCTCTCTTTCTTTCTGCTGTTCCTGTTTGTCTAGGGACTTCTGTCTTTAATATTGTCCTTTTATCTGCCCTGTGTCCTCATCACCTATGAGATGTGTTGGATGTATAGTCTTCCTTTTCTCTCTCTTTGCCCTAAAGTCAATTCTACCAGACCTAAAGGTTGATTTCCTTTCGTAACCCATGTTGATCCCCTACGGTCTGTGTTCATACTGCCACACCAGACCGCTCTT